CCCCCCCCCAACAAAGGCAATTCAAATTTCTGAGGGGTAGGGGGGTCAGAGAAAGAACAAAATTGCAGAGTTTGTATGGAAGAAAATTGGAGTTCTGGGGGTAGATGGGGAAGGGGTCTTTAAAAAAATTCCTTCGGGGAGGGGGTAGGGATAATTTCTTGAACTACACAATGTTCATTTATAAAGCCCTCATTTATGTGGCATTTACGGTAAACTTCTATTGAACCATATGAATCTTTTAATGATCATTTATCTGTCTGTTTCAGGTTACAGTGACAAGGTCGCTTACAAAATCTACTCAGATTTAAAGAATATTGCTCCTTGTGTCAGACTAACAAATGCAACTCATGAAATAGGATGTTCTTGTGAGTATTTGAGAATGGTTATAATAATACAGCTTTTTCTGTTCTTCTTTCAGTAATGAAACGTGCAGGAAGTGATGTAAGCATGGAAGAAGTGTAAGGAGAAGCACTAGCTATAGGCGAGTGCTTTTTACACTTCTTGAGTGCTTACAATGCATTCCTAAGTGCTTTATTAGTGAATGGAGCACGGAAAAAGCTGTTTTATTCATTTTATTATATAGAACTTTACTAAAATTATTTCAGTATTGAATTTATTTACGCAAAAAGTAGAGATGTTCGCGGGATCTAGAACCACTTCCCAAGCTTGGATGGCGTCAGCACTGTGCTCTGTTCACTAATAAAGCACAGTTTTCAACCACTCAGTGTGCTCGTACTATCCTAACTATATAATAATGGACAGAATGCTATTTTTTTATCTCTTGGATTAACATGTACATTTCGGTACATCAGTTGAAAAGTCTTTTTCAAGGGGATTGTGTTTAAGGATGTTCGCGGGCAAATAAAGTTGCAATCAGAATTTTTTATAGCTTGGCATAAACATACCCAACTAATATTCTTGTTCAAAAAATGAAATAAAGAATGGGAGTCACTGAATTGGTTTTCAATATGTTTTGCTGTAAAGAAGTGAAAAATGCCCAGGGTTTCCTGATATTTAGCCCATAAAAACATTTGAATAAACTGATGGCTGTGCTTGAACAATGTCTGCAAACATCCTTAAGCTCACTGCTTTTTTAACTGGTTGTATTCAGCACACCAATGTATACATAGTCATAGCTAGTAACAGTCATTATCAGTTTGGCCTGGCATTGATGCACTTATAACAGGGCTAAGAATAACGGCTGGTCAACAGACAATGTTCAGGCAGAAACAAAGCTTGTCTGGTCCAACCTTTGCCTCGCCAGTGATTATATTTTGGTCACCTCTTTAAGCTTCTTTACCAATTGGGTGTAAAAGAAGTCTATTTAATATGTGAGTGAACAACTTTCTAGCATTTGTTGGTCAACCAATTTTAACCAGGGTTTAATAATGATTTTGTTTGCTTGTTTTTCAGCATCTATGGGAGGTCATGTTGGTGTAGTACATTTGATACAATCACAAGATGACATTGATTGGCTGATAAAATATGGAGACCATTCACCATATATACCTTTATTTACATCTACAATGTTTAATGAGTAAGTGTGCTATTCATTTTACATGTAGTGTCACAGACAGAGAGTCAGCAGACTGTCAGAATGTCAGTCAGTCAGTCAGTCAGAGAGTCAGTCAGTCAGTCAATCAGTCAGTCAGTTGGCCAGTCA